TTCATAAAGTCATTGACAAGCTACATACAACATTTGCTCTTAAGAAACTAGGAATTCCTCAATATTTTATTAGAATTGAAGTTCAATATCATCCTAATGGGGCCCTTATTTCCAGACAAACAAAATATATCAAGGATTTGTTGGAAAAAGTTAATATGACATAAGAAAAGGGTGTGAGTACTCCAATGTTTAGCCCTTGTAAACAGAGCAATAATGTTGATGACATGTTCCCTGATCCCTTCCTCTATAGGTCTACAATTGACGCATTACAATATGTTATGTTAACGTGACCAAACATTGATTTTTGTGTCAATAAAGCATGTCAACACATGTATGATCCACTTGAATCTCATTGGAGTGTGGTAAAAGGCATGTTAAGATGCCCCAGTGGCCCAAGTACTCGTGAGTTTCTCCTCACTCTAGCATCCTCCTTCCACAAACTCTAACTACGAGCATACAAGGACTCTAATTGGGTCAGTGATCCGGACGACATGTGCTCAACATCAGGTTCATGTGTGTTGCTTGTTCTTAATCTTGTAACATATAGTTCCAAGAAACAATCGTTAGTAGCTCATTATAACATTGAGGCGGAGTATCGAGCATTAGCACACAAAACCTTAGAAGTTATGTGGATTGAATCACTACTTTAAGAGTTGTCTATATAGGAGTTGTCTATCCTGTATCTTCCACCAACTCTTATTTGTAATAATTTTAGTGTTGTCATGCTATCACATGATTCGACTTTGCATGCTCGAACAAAACACATTGTGTTAGGCATCTATTTGATTCATGAATGAGTTGTTTCTAACAAACTCCATATCCAACATGTCTTACCTCAAGCTCACCTTGCAGACATCTTGACAAAACCATTATCAACTAATCTATCTGTGAACTTTAGAGACAAAATCAAGATCGCTTCCTTCAAACCAACATCTTGACAAAACCATTATCAACTAATCTATTTGTGAACTTTAGAGACAAAGTCAAGATCACTTCCTTCAAACCAACATGAGTTTGAGGGGGAGAATTAGAGTTTAGTGGGTTAGATTGAATAACAAGATAGTTAAGAAGTTAGTTATAGAAGTTACAAAATAATAACTATAGAACTAATAAAATCCGTCGACTCAAATTTTCAATCATGAAAAACTATGAATGACTCTAGGAGTAATTGATGTTTCAAATGTGAAATAGAAGGCGCTTCCAATAATTCCAGTAACATCAAACTTAAATCAAACAAAAAGAACAACATTTATCTTTGTATTATCCAATGTAGCATCTGCCATTTTTTCATCAAATTTCAACAACATTCAAATGCTCCTGCATCTATTTTTTTATTGTGAACCTCATATTATATCTTTGACTTTCGTGTCTTCTGATAGTAGTTTCCACTTAATCATCTATTGTTGCCACTACTGGAGAATTTTTTCAGCAACAGTAATACAACCTTTTAGAAGTTGGACTTTATGGTTCAATGAGGTAGAGCAAGACAACAAGACAACCACAGAAAACTGCTCTTTCGCTGCTTCCCGCCATGTGTTTGATAAAATTCCCCAACTAGACATATTTTGTATTGAGTTGAGGAGAAGCGCAATTTTGCATTGTCAAATGGTTTCTACTCAAATAGGAGATTTACATTGTCCATTTCGAGGATTCCATTGTTGCCCTAATGGTATAGATGGGAGCAAATGTATTTCTTGTTTGTTGTCTCATCTTAAGATGCTACACCTATGTAGTGACGAACGAAAAATGTCATATGGAATGCGATTAAGAATGATTGTGATTTATTTACGCCATTGGAAGAGTCTTTGAAGGTGGTTGAGTAATCGTTATGTGGAAGGTGTATGGGCATTCATTCCATGAGCCGGGCATGTCATCATCCTGATGGTCTTGTTCGTGCCACTCATGGGACAAGAGGGGTCGGAAGTCACATTGTAGGTATTGTTAAACCATCCTCAACTGAATCTGATAACCTTGAAGCAAACGAGGAGTTTGTTTTGGATGCAAGGTTGTTAGAGAGAGTTCTTACCGTAGTTATCTTCACTGTGAAGATTATACCTCTAAGTTGACGTCTTGATTTCTCTCAAACATTGAAAGATGCTTTTTACAAGGTGGTGGTTGATCCATGATCAGTAGGTATGTAGGTTAGGATTTTACTTCTCCCTCGTTGTACATTACAGGTGGTTAAGCCTCAAAATTAGGCGGGATCGCAGGTCTAGAAATTGGAAGTCCTTGCAACAACACCATATTTTAGAGTATTTAGCTACTTGGAGAGACGAAGATGGTCTTGCCAAGTTAGTTGATAGTATGTTGGAAAGCTCTAAGCGAGGTTACTTGGGTTGTGGGGGTGTTCATACTCAGGAGAAATATAAGAAGATGAGCTCTAATGTTAAGCAATGCCTCCATAAAATTGTTGATGGCCATTTCACACCAGCTGTAAAAGTGTTAGGGTCATCCAGTGTGCCCCCTATATTGAACATACAATGAAGGCTTTTGAGGCTAAGCACCAGGATAAACCACCTCCCTTTATGCCAACCACTTTATTCTCAAAATCTTCCCTAGTAACTGATGTAGATACTATCTTCAAGTGTATTAAATATTTTCCCAAGGGGACATCATGTGGTAGAGATGGTTTCTGTGCTCAACATATTTTAGATGCACTGTATGGAGAAGGTTCTACTGTGGCGAAATATCTTTTACACGCAACCACTCTAGTTGTTAACTTATGGTTAGGAGGAAGATGTCCCATGAGTTTGGCGGAGTTTGTTGCCTCTACACCATTGACACCGTTATTAAATGTTGTTGGTGGGATACGACCAGTTATTATGGGTTATATTTGGAGGCGGTTGGTATCCAAGGTTGTTATGAAAGGGATCGATAAAGATATGGCGTGATACCTCAATGACTTTCAGTTTGGGGTTAGGGTATCAGATGGTGTTGATACCATTTTTCATAGTGTCAACAGGGTGTTAAGAAAGTAACACATAGATGGTTCCTTGGGAATGCTTACTGTAGATTTCTCGAATTCTTTCAACTTGATAGATCGATCAACCTTATAGCGCGAGGTGAGGGTGAGATTTCCATCTATTTTTTTGTGGGTTGAGTTTCTTTATGGCCAAGCAGCAAGGTTTTATATTGGGGATGGACATATCATGTCATCCACCAGAGTGAAGCAAGGTGATCCGTTAGGGCCGCTCCTTTTTGCTCTTGTATTACACCCACTCATTCATCAGGTTAGGGACAATTGTAAGCTTCTTCTTCATGCCTGGTATCTTGATGATGGAACTATTGTAGGGGATTCTTAGGAGGTGGCTAAAGCCTTTGATATAATTCGGGAGACAGATCCATGATTAGGTCTTGAATTTAATATTCATAAGATTGAGATCTTTTGGCCTTCATGTGATGGTAGTAAACATCGTGAAGATTTGTTCCCGTCAGAAATTAGGAGGCCGGTGTTATGGATGAAGTTGCTTCGATGGGTTATTAGTCGGGATGACGTTTTCATTAAGGAGTTGTCTAAGAAGAGAGCTTCCAAGGCTATTGATTTAATACACCTTCTACCACAACTGAGGGATCCTCAGAGTGAGCTTCTTCTACTTCGATCACACAAAGGTATTGCCGAATTATTTTTTGGCCTAAGAACATGTCAACCTACTCATATGGAGAAAGCAATTGTTTAGTTTGATATAGTTGCAGAAGGCGGTTGAAGAAATCGTGATTGGTGGAGTTCCTTTCTTCGGGGACCTTCAATGGAGGGGGCTTCATTACCCATTAGAGTTGGGAGTTTGGGTTTGTACTCAGCTGTAGAGGCTTCCTCATACGCATTTATGGCTTCTAGGGCCCAATCTTGAGTGTTGCAAGATCATATATTGAGACACATTGGGGGTGTATGGTATGGACTCAGATTTCGACAGTGCTTTGGATGGTCTTAGTGTTGCGATTCCAGATTTTGACATTAGAAATATTACTAGTAAGGACACCTTCCCTCCTAAAGCACAACATGTTTTGGCGAGTTCCTTTTTTAGTAAAATTTTTAAAGACATGTTTTGTCGTAAGGCATGTTTGGATATATTTGGGGAATACACGATTCGTTGTAGGGAGCTTCCAGGCTTCAAATACCGACATGACCTTGTTAGGGATGTCTTGTTTGATATATTCCGACGTGCCGACGTATCTGTGAAGAAAGAGACGCATGTGAATTTTTTGACTGACCAACTTGAGTCCACTGGTGGGTTTGAGGGATGGTAGTTTTACTGTGGGACAGACAGCTCTCAAAGCTGCTTCTAGTAAAGTGGTCAAACATGAGAAAGTGATTCCAAAAATCAACATGTTTTTATATCATTTGCCTTTGACACTTATGGTTTCCTAGCACCAGAAGTAGTTGATCTTTTACGGATAATTCAAAGATTTATGAATAAAAATAATATAGTTCATAGGTCTATGGATGTAGCTTTTAAGACGATTGGATTTGCAATCTAAAAAATAATATCGGCGCAGTTTGTTGTTCATTTGCTTTCTATTTTTGTATTGACCTAATTGAAATAGAAATAATTGCAATTTATTTGTATAAATATGAAAGTCATAGACTTCATTCATCAGTGAGAAATAACCATTCACAGGCTAAGCTTGATATCTCTCTCTCATGCATCCTCACCATGAATACATGCATCTACATTCTACATCATAGAGAGTTTTCTCATCAAACAAATAATCCTTTAATCATTTAATAATCATCTTTAAAACATTGTTAGAAATTTTGTCTGAGGAGTTGAAACGCGGGTGCTTGTTGGCCATTTGTTTTGAATAAAGTGTCTATTTTAGACTGTCATTGGTATGCATATAAATTAGGTTAAAACTAATTAGAAGCGTTCTATGTAACCTTTGAACAATAAAATTGTGTTGAATTGAAAAATAATATAATTTGATTGAGCTGTTAGTAAGATAAAATTACTACAATCCAATTAAACTTCAAATTATGTATAAACAAATATCAAAATTGTAATTTACAGCTCTTCATTAACAACTTGTTGAGAATTTGATATATCACAGCAATCTTGGACCTTGCTTAAGTTCTCTATCCAGATTCTATCAGCTATAACTGCATCCTTATCGTTGTTGCGATGCCATGACCATTCTGCATGAGTTTCATTTAGTATTCGTAACCTTCCATGACCAAAGCTTGGTTCTCGAAACAACGAAAGAGGACTTGGAGGACTCTTAAACCTATTATCAATAAGCATTGTATAATATAATTAGAGCTATGTTAGGAAAGAAATAATTAATATGGTATCTTACTTTAATGCAAGTCCCTCGCGGTTTCCTCCATCTCCGATTGTCACGTAAATTGGACCGCACGAATCAACCTTGTTATCATAAATTCGAGTCTGCAAATGAGTTCAATTAATCGATCAAAAAATATCATGCAAAACGACTAAAGTTTACGAAATCATTAATCAAACACATGACTCACGAAGCGTTCGTATGCATGAACATGTCCAGCGAAAACCAAATCAACCCGAGCATTATAAAGCAACTCTTCCATAGCTTCTCTCATGGCTTCACCTTCACCTTGATGTGCCTCATTAGTATTATACCAAGGAGCATGCACCAATGTGATAACCCAAGGTGTCTTCGCTCTATCGATCTTAGCAAGGTCTAGTTTAAGCCACTCATATTGTTCCGAATCAACATTAAAATCGGCATATGAACCTAACATAATGATATGAACTCCGACAGCTTCAAAAGAGTAGTAGAGATTTGAGTTTGAACCACTTTCTTTAAATGGCATTGGCCAACGTGTGTTGTAAGCTTCAAAGCCTTTTGGGTATATAAATGGAAAGATTTCGATTTCGTGGTTTCCTTCGGTTACCATCCATGGTCTTTTGCTAGCATATGGTTCTACTAAACGACCAAAAGAATCCCATAATGGTTGTTGTGAATCTGCATAGGATAAATCTCCTGGTAACAAGAACACATCGTAGTCTTTTTTTCCGACATGTTTTAAGGTTGATGCTGTCCATTCAGTTTGTCCCAAGTCTCCTGCATGTCATATAATATGTACATTAATAGAAAAAGGATTGAATATAAAAAATAAAAAATAAAAGAAGGTGTATTTAGTGCTTTGTATTTGATTTCAATAAAAACAAAACAAAAAAAAATTAAAACTGAACATAATTTATGTAGGGAATACGCACCCTTCAATTATTAAAACCTTATCCTATGAAACTGAAACTGAAACCGAAACCAGAACCAAATCGTGAAGTAAAAGAAACTTACCAACAATGACAAATTCAATGGGAAACTTGGACGGTGGTGTCTTGAAAGAAAACTCCGGACCCAAACCTCCACATCTGTAAAAGTAACTCGTGTTTGCCTCCAATGGCCCAATCACTGCGTTATGAATTTTACCAGATTTGTAGAAAAAATACTGGTACGAGGTTTTCTCACCAATTGTTTTTTCATCATACACCCCTGATTTTTTCCCATACTCCACCACAGATTTTGCTTCCTTGTCTTCTGTTATCCACGACACTCTCATCTTGTCTTTCCCCACCAATGAAACATGCACCTGTTGAGGTTCTGAGTTTGAGCGTTGATGGGGCGTGATGATGAGTTGACTAGCTGGCTGTCGAACAAAATTGTTCTCTTGAGAGAGTGATGGTTGTGGGAAGATAAGGAAGAGGAAGAGGATTGGGAAAGTGGTGCATTTTGCCATGAACTTGTTTCTATGCAAATTTGAGATTGGAGGTGTTGAAATGGAGGATGAAGGGAGAGAATGTGAGATGATATACATTTGTTTTGGGTTGAAATGGCTTACAAGTTTGATGAAGATATTTATGTGAAAATGTATTACTTACTATCTTAAAGCAACAACCACACGTTGTGTTATGGCTTTTTGCTGACTTTAGGCATTTTGTTAGACACGTTAGCGTTTGCCTATAAATTACAATGTCGGTATTGTTATTTTTTGTGAGAATTTTACGATTACTTAATTTTGTTGTGTACGTTTTTATTATAATAAATACTTTAATTGAGTTTTTGTCAATTTTTATTTGAGCATATTGATGGAGTTATAAGCATATGCTTGCCTCGCTATTCTCATTACTTCTTTTTTCTGATTGAAGGACAATGCTGACATCCTCATTTATGGAGCATGGAATCAAGTTGGCCTATTAAAAACTTTGTGTCAGACAACGTGGAGAGGGAAACTTCCGTGAAACAAATTTGAGTCGATAGAATATTCTTAAGTTACTACTACTATTATTTCTCTTTTGCTTATTAAAACAAAAATTACAACTATTTCAAAATGTAATTGAATTTAAATTTAAAATTTGTGAGTCGTGAATTGTTTTTAATGGTCGTGTTAAGACTTGTTTGTTTGCTTTTTTTATTAAATTGAGAGATCAAGATTTCATAAGCAAAAATCAATTTTTCTTGTGATCTATTTGTAGCTTTTATTAAAGACTCGCTTAAATAAGTGAGAGAAACATAACATATTCATTCAAAATTTTAAGGATATTAAATTGAGAAAATTCAGATGACATTATAATTTATCATTGATTATATATAATTATTTAATTTTCTTTTCATTAGGGTGCAACCTTCCAAACGTAGGTGACAATTACACCGAACTGAATTATTAATTTCTTGCGTCTGTTACTTATTATATGTTTAATTGTTCATCACTTGATTCAGATATTCTTTTTGAATTGGTTGCACTATGAAAAATAACATGGAGTTTGTTCAAGCTTATTCTGGGGCAGAATTAACACATGTGAAATCCGATGTTCCAACATATATGTTGCAACATCTGTTCTCTTACAACATACAAATGTTATTGGAATTGTGGTTCTGAGTTATTCTATCCAAGTTTCAGTCTATAAAAAAGATCTACAAATTCAAGTTGGAGAGTTAATTTGGATGTACGGGTGCAACATGTTGAATATGATGCTTCAACATGTGTGTAGTACAACATCTGGCTCTGACAGTAAGTCATATAGATGTTATTTGGTGTGCAATTTTTTATTGGGATTTAATCAGATTTGTTGCAGTTATTTAAGCAATGTTTGTTTGATTTGTTTGACATTTGAAGATGTTAAAGTCAGATTTAAATGGAGATTTAAATTTAAATTTAAAATATAACAAATCATATCTTATTGTTGGAGACAATTATAGAGAAGATCATATCCAACAAAAATAACTATTTTCTGGACTAAATCAAATCAGATATCCAAAGGAGAAAATGCCAAAGGACATTTCTATATAAGGAGGAGAAAGTCTCATGCTTGAGACATGGATTTTGAGCACAAGGTTTAGTATCTTTTTGTTAGGGCTTTGAGTCTTTGTAACTTGTATTCCACGATAATGCCATCATAAGGATTAATGTTTAATCTTTGTGTACACCACCCTATATTTCAGTAACTTGTCATATTTGTTAGTTTATCTTAGTTGAGTTGTAAAATTCAATATTCAATAAGATTGTTATTGAATTTGATTACTTGTGATTAGGGATTGAGAGAAAGTGTGAAGAATTCTCATATTTAGGGGGAGACCTAAATAGAAAGTCACTAGGATTAGAAAGAGGCATTGAACAACATGGGGTTGGTGTTCATAGAAGACTAAGTGTACTAATTTGAAGTAGCAAATTTCCTTTTTTGGGTAGAGTGCCTTGTAGACGTAAGTGTTGTTTACACCAAATTGGGATACTGATATCTGGTGTTATTTGTTGTTTTTACATTGACTATGTATTGTTATCCATTTATGTGTTAAATCTGATTTAACTTGTTGGACCAGTTATTCCAATATCGTGTCCAACATTTATTCCTTTAGGAATAGAATTTCAATTGGCATCAAAGCAGACACCCTGTTCGATTTGGGTGTGCTCCAAGGAGGATATTTTTTGTTCAAATGGATAACACTAAGGATGGAGGTTCAGTCAACATGCCACATGTTTTAGATGGCACAAATTATGACTTTTGGAAAACCTTGATGGTTGCTTTTCTTAAATCTATAGGTTGCAGTGCTTGGAAGGTTGTGCTTAAAGGTTGAAAACATTTTGTGATCACTTTTCACGATGGTTCTATAAGCTTAAAGTCTGAAACTAATTGGTCTAAAGATAAAGACAATGAAGCTCTTGAAAATGACAAAGTATTGAATGCCATATTTAATGGTGTTGGCAAGAATATGTTCATACGAATCAACACATGTACTGAAGCTAAAGAAGCTTGAGAGATACTCAAGACTTCTCATAAAGGCGCGTCCAGGGTTAGGATGTCAAGGCTTCAGCTTCTTACAACTAAGTTTGAAAATATGAAGATGATGAAAGATGAACTCATATCTGATTTCAACATTAGATTGACTGATATAGTCAGCCGTTCTTTTGCATTGGGAGAAAAGATGTAAGAAGAAAAGCTGGTGAGAAATATTCTCAGATCTTTACCTCAGAAGTTTGACAATGAAGGTAACTGCTATAGAAGAAGCCCACAACTTAAGCACCTTGAAGGTTGATGAACTCATTAGGTCCTTATAATCCTTTGAAGTTTCTATAAGTGGATGATCAGAAAAGAAGAACAAATGTGTAGCTTTTGTATCCAATACTCAAGAGATGGTAGATCAAGGTGATAAGGATAATGAAGATAGTTTTTCAGATGATATAGCTTTAGTTGATAGAAAGTTCAAAAAAGCTTTGAGAAAACTGAACAAATAATGAAGGGCAAATATGCTACATAGGATGTTAGACATTAGTCCCCAGAGCTAGTACAAAGATGAAGACAATTATATCGTAGGAAAAAGACCTAAATGTTATGAATGTGAAGGATTTGGTCACATCAAATTTGAATATCCTACCTTCATAAAGAAATATAAAAAGGGATTCTCAATCGCTTGGTCTGATTCTGATGATGATATTGAAGGAGAAACAACAAACTCTATGATGGCTTTCACTGGGAAATATGTATCAAAAGATAAATACATGTCTATAGGAGAACCTATTGTAACATATGGAATACTGCAAACAGAGTGGGAGGAAGCCTGTTTGACTTTGGAGAATCAAAAGAGAATCATATGTGTGTGTAACACGGTGGGAGAACTGACTTGGGATGTTTTGTGTTTGATCGTAATTGTTGCAGATAGCAAGAGTCGCCACCGACTTTTATTTTATTGAATGAAGGAAATGGTGAAAAGAACAGGAAAGACCTTTGAGATTATTTTCTTGAATTCGGGGGGTAGATTATGAAAAGGGAAGGTGTTAGCACCCTTTTCATCCATAGTTATCTATGGGCTCTTAGTTGCTTGCTAGATCATTGCTTTTGTTTGAAAGTGTGCTTTGTGGTGGATTTTGAAAGTATTTTTGAAAAGTGTCTTCGTTTAGGAAAACTTTGTAATGATTCTCATCTCTATAAGAATATATACAAAGTGTTGGACTTTTGAAAATATTTCATGGAAAGTGTTGGTACATTTAAAAAGGTGTTTATGTTTGAAGATGGGCAAGCAACTAAGAATGTTTCTACCTACTCAAAAGTCTTTATTCTTTTCCTCCTCCTTTAGATGTTGCTATCTTACTATTGATTGGTAAGAAGCCTTATCTTTGGATATAAAGGGACGGGTGTGGATCATCGTAGAGTAATGATAGCAATGTTGTGAGATATCTTAGCATTTCTCTTGAGGGACTAAGATCATTTGTAAGGAAACATTAGAAGGATTGTCGAGGGACTATGATCTTGTATTTTTTTATTGTTTTTGCTAAGACGCCTCACATGCATAACATGACCATTTTTCATAAGGCAACAAGTAGAGTTAACCCTAGAGATGCAAGTGTGCAAGTGTTTGTATTTCATGTTTGGTTTATCTTGGATTAGTGCTTACTAAGATTGATTTTATCTTCCCATACAAATCCTAATTTACTAGCATTTATATGAAAGCGATAAATTGCGAAAAGTAAATATCATACGCTATTACAATCACTTGGGGATGGGGTGTACAAATTTACAAATGGGGGTTGCAAGAAATCAAAGTTCTAATTATCTATTACAACCATATTGAAATAATGTACAAGAATTAAAATGTAAAATATATTTGTTTTGTTTATATTAAGAGAAGAAATAAATTTGCTTAAGAAAATGTTTTTAGTCTTTTTGTTTTAAAAGAAATAAAGCAAAGTATATGAATATAAATTATTTTTTGGTGTTTTTGATTAATGAAAATACAAGTGATGATAAAAATAATAAGAAAATAAGAGTTAAAGTCAGAGCGTTGCTGAAAGAATAAAAATAAGAGAGAGAAGAAGTTCTGACTATGGCGTGCTGCAAATCAGAAAGAAAATGTTAGCAGAAAAGGGGAAAGTCGGAAGTTCTGGATCCTGACGCACTAAAGTTCGGGGGTTGCTGGGAACAAAGGAAATCCTAGAACTTCTGATTGTTTGAGAAAGCCTAGAAGTTATGATTGTTTGAGAGATCCTAGAAGTTCTAGTGTTACTGGAAGGTTAGAAGTTTTGATCCTGGGTAAGTGAGATGACAATGTTGTTGGATGAGACTGTCTAGAAGTTCTGGTCCAGGAGTACTGTTTTGACAAACAATTGAGAGGGGATTTATCTAGAAGTTCTGGTCTAGGAGTACTGTTTTGACAAACAACTAGGTGGGGGCTTATCTAGAAGTTCTAGTCTAAGAGTACTTTTTTGATAAACAACTGGGAGGGGGTTTATCTTAGAAGTTCTGGTCC